AAGGGAACACATCTAATAGTTAAATAACTTTTGTAATGGTTTTCCAAGTTTCGCATGTATACGGCAGTTTAGAGGGCAATAAACTTATATAATACGAGTTTTACTCGAAGACTAAACTTATTTGATGACCAGACAATAGGAAGTCTTTCGAAATCCCAAATTTATTTTCCACTACGATTTTTAACTTCATTGATTATGTCACCAGAGTTTGCTTGAATACGTTCAATTTACATGACATTAACAACTTCCTCAATGTGATTTACTTCTAACTGTATAATGTTATCATATTTTAACAACTCAATCTTTTTTTCAGAACTTATATTCAATCCAAACTTAGAACTGCCTATGATAAGTTAGTTATACTTAACATTTTGCTGCATGATGTAGCTGCATAAATATACCTTCACACGGCCACTTACTTCACATATACAAATGTAAAGAGAGGCATAATTATTTTCATAGACAACTTAACAGAAACTAGCAGCATGACCTGGCGTTTCCCGTGGTTGATTCAAAAATCGTACGACTCATACAGCAATCGCTATCATTTGACTTAAAATATTTTTGCCCTTCCTTGCCTTTAAAGGAGTGCCCTTTGCCGTGCTGATGTTGCTACATGCCTTACTTCTTACATTAAATCTGTTACGAAAAAAGAACTAAACAAAATGAACACAAAACGATCAGCTTTAAAAAAGGACTCGTAACTGGAAAAACCGAATGAAAAAAGAATGTTAACAACAAATACTTTTTCACACCCTACCCAGTTCCGCGGAATCAGAATCAACGTTGAGTTTAAGCAAGCGAATGAGCCAATTGAAGTAAAATGCCATGCAGATTTAAATCTTTCCCGCTTGTGACGAATGCAGCTATCGATTTTTTGCATGCTAGCATGCTAGTTAACATTCGTGTCAGTCAGCTGTTGGCTCTCATGCTGGCCAATAGAATCTTCCTGCCTATTCGTGGCAGCCAGCTACAGGCTCTCATTCCGGCCAGTAGAAAATGACCGAAAACTACATGAAAACTGCCGTAGAAGCATGAATAATCGATTATTTCCACTATCGATGGGAGTTGGGAAATGCAAAGTCGGTCTTGGCCTTCCCGTTAACTTGGAGCATGTGCATGTAAATGTTGGTGCAAATCCGTCAAAAATTGCGGCCGTGCATTCGTTACACACACACACACACACGCACACACACATACATCTTGCCTTTTATAGATAGAGATAAGTAAACTTCGTATTTTTTGTCCTAACATATTTATAATATCGTTGAGTAATAATGTTATACTTCGTCACAAAAGTAATTCTCATAAATATCCCATCAGTCACTCTTTAAAAGAAAACATAAATGGATCTCTTAACTCTATTGTCGATATCATTTGTTTGATTCTTTTTTCTGTGTGCCGTACCCTTCAAGAAGTTGGCGATCATGGCTCTCCAATATTCCCTATCCTTTGTAGCCCTTAATAAAATATTAAAACTTGTACCGCCATCCATTTACTCAAGCTCCCAAAGTAAATCATTCGTTTTTTTTCTCTGTCCCTCTTGCCTTCGATCTGGCCTGTGGGTATAAGATTTTCTAATCCCTTTTTCCTCAATATGAGCCCTAGAAATGTCAACTGTCTCTTCCTGATGTTTTGCATAAGTTTCATTTTTGTTTGCATTTTCTCTAAACTTTGTCGTTGCTCACATGTTCGGTATATGGTATCCTCAGCATCTTCCTGTAGAACCACAATTCTGCCGTCTCCTCTTCATTTGTGAGGAGATGGTCCAGCATCAACTGCCCTACAGGAGGACTGAGACTGATATTACGTAAATGTTTAGTACACTTTTCTTTGTTTCTTACGAAATGTTTATATTTCTTAATACCCTGCGTCGCTTTTGGGACGCATCTTTGGTTATCGCAATATGCCTTCGGATTTTAGTGTTGCACATTCCGTCCCCTGTTAAAACACTTCACAGATATTTAAAATTTTATATCTGTTTGATTTTGGTATCTCCATTTTTAACTTTGCATGTTAGGCTGTGCCATTTGCTAACGGCTATGGATTCCGTTTCTTGCATTTTATGTTTAGACCTTTCTTCTCGCTTTCCTTCACTTACCTAGGAATTATTGTAGTTTCCTTTTCGTATCTGCTATCAACACAGTGTCACCTGCTTAACTTATATTGTTAAGATTGTAGCCGGTAGTACTGAATCCATGTAGAAGTTCTAATTCTCTTAGTATAGCCTCATTGAATTCGTTGAATAAGTCCGGTGAAACGACACATCACTATCTTTGTATTTTTATATATCCCCTGAACTCGTTTTCTATTCATATGAAGGGAATTTGTTACCAAAATAGTTTCTGGATTATTCTAATATCCTTCCTAATTATGTCAAGGTTACCAAGCAGTTCCAACAGTAATTTGGGACGTACGGACCTAAAATAGTGCAATTATCATAATGTATCAAGATATGATGATACTAAATTTTCAGCCTGGATGCTTGATTTTAAAGGCTTACGGCCATCCACGTTGAAACACCGATTCTCGTATGATTACCGAAGTTAAGCAACGCCGAGCCTGGTCAGTACCTAGGTGGGTGGGCGCTTGGGAATACGAGGTGCAGTAAACATGGTTGGGTGGATGATGTAATTGATAATGTCTCTGAATTGGTAAATGTAGAGCCGTGCTCTTATTCCAGATGGGGCCATTATATTCACTTTGGAGAAGATAGAAATCCACTTCTTCCCCGAAGCTATGGGTTAATTAGTAAGACTTTTATCACCAAATCATTGACATTAATTATTATCTAAAAAATGTTAAAATCTTAAAATATTTTCTGGCTATAAATAACCAGTAATGGGTTGATAATCCGAAGCAAAAGGAATCAATGAATGATTACTGTTATACTAACTTTGATAATATAAATGATTTTGCTTGGGATTTGTTGCAAATAAATAATGATCTGTCATTGTGTATTCTTACAGAATGCCTATGCTAGATAGGGTAAAATGAAAATTATAGTGAAAGTAATTCCAGAACCTAACTGTTGTAGCATACCTATGGACGATAATGGGTGTGTTCCCATTCACATACATTCAATAGTTAATACTGTATGTTGGCCTGTAGTTGGAGATTCGTTTCCAACTGTGCTGGTTAAAATCTCTGCCTGTGGGCAGAGAGGATCCCCAGACGAGGCTATGTCGAAGGGCAGTTTTGTCTCGGTAAATAGCAACTCGACTCCGTTTTATACGGGGTCTACGGGGAATTTTTGGCCACAGTTGGAGATTCGTCTCCATTTGTGCTGGTCAATTTCTCTGCCTCCGGGCAGAGAGAATCCCTAGACGAACCTATGTCTAAGGGCAGAGTCTCGTCTCGAGAAACAGCTACCCGACCCGAATTTTGGCCAGAATCTGTTGGCTCGGATACCCCTGATTAAATCCGTCCCTTGACACATCTAACAGCGTGAGGCGGTAGATAGATATCCTGCAGTTGCAGATTCAATGTGGAATTCACTTGACTCACTTCTAGCAATTGACTACTTCTTCTACGCGCCGCTGGCGAATCTTATATATGTTGTTCTTGTCCTAAGTATTATCGTTCATTACCAACTTCCGCGTGATTATTCTATTCAGTAAACTTCCCTGGGTTACAATACTAACAAACTGACTCGAACTTTGATTCTAAACATCCCGAACCTTTTTATGTGCGGAATCATAAAAGCGATGTATTGTATTTCTCTAAATTTTTCAGTCAGACTGAAAAGAAGAATGCACCACAACGGACAGTATTGTAGAATGGTAGCGGCATTAGAGAGCCCGAGAGCTCTGATGATCTTCTGGGTTTTCCTCTCCCAGATTATTTTGCATACACGGGGTTTCAGCGTTGAGACACATCAGGAAACTCAAGATGATAATAGTTGGCCGACTAACTTACATCTGGACCCCCTCCCTCTCTCTATCTCTCTCGCCGACTCAAAGAAACAATGCCAACTACACCCATCTTGGAATGTGACGTAATCATTATTTACACTATTTACATTCAGACTATTGTTCTCATCTTTGTTGTTTTTATCACAACGTTTCGGTCGTTGTGCCCTACGGCCTTCCTAAGGTGTATATTGATTTGGAGAACCCTACAGACAATTCTAATCTGAACCCCTTGTTCAATCTAAGGGGAAATATTGTTCTCATTTCACTGCACATGTCTCGAGATATCATTTAGTTCTATTTACCAAGATCGATATACAATTGAGGAATGCCGAAGAGTACAATGGCAGAAACTATGTGATCACACCAACACAGATAAGGACAGTAGTGTAAATAACAATAAACCTGTCGAAAAATGAATGCCGTTGCTTCAAATTGTTGATTCAGTTTTAGAGTCCCTAATTGTTGCTACTGAGGAAATGTAGATAGAGCGTTAAAAAAATTGGTTACAATACGTACCCTTTTTTGTGAGTGAAGTGTAATTTCTAGCGTCCCAAAGCGATCAATGTAACATGGAATTTTATTACCCGTGGAGTGTATGTATGGTTATAATGTTAGACATTTTTTTTAACATTATCAACAAGCAGTATAGTTATGTTTATATTATGAGATATTCATTGTTTCATTCGAAGTTCAAAAATGCAGACAATTTGATTAGATTGCATTTGTAGCGAGAATTGATTATTAGTCAAAAGATATCGGTTTTTATAATTTCATGAGGTATGTAGTAATGGACAGCGGATCGGATTGAGAAATCGTAAAGTCAATTAATTGTATTCATTTACGTACTAATGCCCTTGGGAGAGGTAGGAAAAGTATGGGAAAATAGCAGGGCATATTGGGTTCTATATATCCTCGTTTGCCAGCAAGTGGAGGAGAAGGAAAAATCTGAATTCTAGCCATCTGCTGACTTATAGGTCCTGCCTCTTTAACTTCTGAGAGGAGGGACATAGTAACCTCAACATTCCCGGTGCAAAAAGAACTGGCAAGACATCGCCCTATTTTGCCTTGAATTTCACCATGAACCACAATGGTGAGATGGAGGCGAGTGGTGACCATAGCGGCAAAAACATTTCCAGTCATTAGATAGATAGACAGGCAGACAGATGTGAACAGAGTAAGATAAATAAAAACAGAATAATACAGATAGATAGATAGATAGATAGGTAGATAGATAGATAGATGCAGACTGACATAGAATGATATCGTGAATAACTGATCATGAGATATTTTCATTCTGCTATATAGACGAACATATCTATTTATCTAAGAAGATGGAAGAAATGATGCTTACACGTTTGCACGTGTTTTAATTTGCGTCATAACACATTACATAAAAGAAAGTAACAGACTATAATCATCAGCCCCATGACTGGGTGTGGTCGTAGTGTCGCTGACACCGATAGGGGTAGTTTGTGGCAAACGCCTAAACTAAGAAGTCAAGTACTTAGACTATTCAGTTCGAAACTTTCATATTGATGCCATGCATAGCGTCCAACTCTATGGGCACTTTGATCTGGTGTAATGATTAGCAAGCTTGTCTCGGTAGATCAATTACGATTCAATAGTGAGTTCGATCCTAACTGGGTGTCCCATACTTTCAGCCTTGTGTCGCATCTAAACTGCGTTTAGAAAATAATCCTGCCGTTCAACTTGTTCAGGAATGTTTAAACTGTCAATTATATACAACTGTTTTCTCAGATGAAAGGCAAATTGAATTAAAGCGAATGAATCCGGTTGTTCATGAAGAAGAGCGTCTTTCATCGTATCTTCTAGACTGGTTCTACAGATTCATAAAAGATTTTACCAGATAATAGAAATCTCATTTCTGAAAGACTTCCAACATTAGCAATAACTAAAATGGATAAGATATATAATTGCAAGAGAAAATAATGACATAATCAAAATGCTGGCGTTCTACACTACTTGAAACACAAGGTTCATAAGGAAACTGCCGTCAGTACGAAAAATGAACAGTATCAGTTACTGGATTTGAAAAGACTATTTTCCTGAACGAAACTCTTTTAAGAGAAACATTTTATAAATTTCAATTAATGCTAACTGTTCTGTCAATGAATGGCAAATATGTCCTTATAAGGAAACTACTAACCACAACATTACGATTTCTCGTGAGGTTTTGAATGTATCTTACTGTAGTCTCATATCTGATTACATAACTGATTAAATTTGACTGAAATCAGTTTATAGAGGTATATGAAAATCTCACTACATTTACATTGTTTGGCTAGGTGTCCTCATCTTTATTGTCATATTCACGACAACCGAAAAGTCGTGAATATGACAATAATGATAAGGACACCGATCCGAACAATCTAAATAGTTTAAATAGTTACATAATATCATCTCTATAATATCATTCTAATGTGACATTACTGGTTTTACTTTGTTTTGCTGTTAGGAGTTTTGTTACAATGTTTTCATTATTTTGTTTCTCATGATATTCTTTTCGTTTTTAAGAATCTTTTCTCATCTACTATTTTGTCTATTTATATCGTGATTCTGTGCTAGAAAAACGACTGTAAATTTCGGTACATCGATTCAGAGTGGGTCTGATCCCTTTTTTCCAGAATATTAAATTGCTAAGAGAGTCACCAATCATAAGGCGACGTGATAATTTTAAAGGTTTAGAGTATCTCCTAAAGAAAATACATTTTATTATATTTATACTCTAAAGAAATACACTCACTAGATAACTGCAGTTCCTACCTGACCGAAGTTGACTAAGTTACCGATGAAATACCAAGACGCCATTTGGGTTGTTTACCATATCTAAGCAGGGCGTATTTTGCAAGTACGCGAACGTGTTGTCTGCCATGAGGCAAAATAATTTTTATACTAGACAAACAGGCTAGATGTAATTAAAATCACAGGAATCGGGAAATATTTACAAAACTATAACAGCCAATGGTGTGGGCATAAAAAGCAGCTCAACCATATATGCACAGGTGAACACCTAGATAGATTGATTGATTCCTATTCTAGGCCTTGTCAACACTTGTGAACACATAGAGATAAACAGTGAGTAATATTAACTGAAAAATATGTGTGTGCGCGTACATGTGTGTATGTGTGTGTGTGCTGAATTATAGATGGATAGGCAAATGCATACATTGACAGATTTGAGCAGAGTTAGATAGATAGATTCAATTTCCCAACCTCAACATCGTATATATATATATATATATATATATATATATATATATATATATATATATATATATATATATATATATATATGAATCGAATACTTATATTAATCCCGAAACTACCTTTGTTTCAAAAGATCAGCGATAGTTAACACCTGAATGAGTAAAATTCAGCGCACGAAGATTGAACTTAATTTTAAAGTTTTGGGTTAATGGCGGAACAACAGGAGTTAACATGGAGCGATTACATTTGATTATTTGATAATTTTGTGTGAAAACAATTCGATAATTAATGCCAATTAAGCGACATTATTTATGCTAAATCCTTTGGACTTGTTATATTTCCATAAAACTGATACGATGGCTGTAGTTTAGGAAGTGGCAGAATTTCCTTGGTTTGAAATTAAGCAATATAGCTTGTATTGAACCTAGCTTATCTGATTTTACAAGGTGCTGCATTTCATTACAATAT